AACCTATTTTAATAAATTTGATAAAAAAAATTAGACATCATTTGGGAAGACTTCATCTCACAGGCCAGAGAAACCGGAGAAGCCATATTTAGATGGCTTCATCATCCTCGTCCTAGTAAAAGTGGCTTCTCCCCACTGGGGCTTCGCCTTTGAAATCGTATTTGAGCCGGTGTATGACAGGGCTTCACTCGAGAAGCCAGAAAAGACAGAACCAAATAGACCTTAGGGGGTGTTTGGCACTGGTCCGCTCCCGTTTTTTCAGCTCTGCTCAACGAACTCCACCATGGAGCAGCTCCGCCATGGAGTTTGTGGAGCAGGTAGTACTGTTTGACACGTAGCTCTGCTCCAGCTCCCGGAATAGGTTGTTTTCATGCAAATGGTCCATTATGCCCCTGATTGAAATTGCACTTGATATTTTCCAACAAAAATAGAAAACAAATGATAGAACATTAACAGAGGCCATAATTCAAATACAAATAATTGTCCCATAAATAGTAAATGATAGAAAATTAATAAACAAAGGTCATAATTCGAATACAAATAATATTCCCTATGTAAGCACAACGACTACGAATCGAAGTGTTCCAATAATTCTAGCCCCAAGCAAGAGAGAGAGCGGTGGCCAACTCATCGTAGAATTTATCCATAGTAGGAGCGTTGGGTTCTGTAGTAGACCTATTTGATGGCGCTACATATTTGTGATACCTAGCCACCAGGACCAGTGCCTTGGATGCCGATGCCCTGGCCACCAAGGGCTGGGCCGCCGGTGCCATGGCCACTGGTGCCGGGCCGGTGCCTGACCACTAGCCGGCCGAGGCAGGAGAGGGCTGGGCCGTTGTTGTAGCTCCTCGCCGTGCTTTTGTGCGAGCGCGAGGGCCCCTGCATGAGGGTCCGGAGGGGTGTGAGTCTGCAAGGACTCCGCTACCACCGGTGGCTGTCCCGGAGCGTCCGCCATAGCGCACTCCCGGGACAGACGGTGGCTAGGTACCACATCGCCGATGCTAGAGCCGTCACTCTCGACATCGTCATCCATGAGGTCGAGGAAATAGGTGGGAGCATAGCTCGTCATTCCCACGAATTCGGACATGAGAGGGGGCGGCGCCAGCGTCCTTCGGAGCCCCTGAGTGCACGCGTTCGTGGGGGACGTGAGGCCATAGGGGAACTGGTCGTACGGTGGTCACGGTGCGGACAATGCGGTCCCTCCGGATAATCGGCGGGAGATAGTAAATAGCGAGTAAATAACAGCATGTACATTACTCACAGCGGGGTTTGAGCAGAGCGTTTGCTCGGATTGAAGCGCAGACGCCTCATTGTTAAAGTCGTCGTGTGTTCCGGAGCCAATGGAGGGCGCCCCTCCGACGGACGCCAAAACAAGTGCCTCCTTGTGGAGGTGTAGTACGCCGAGCCGGTCGGCGATGAAATCTAGGCTTCCGAAGAGGAAGGCCTGGGACGGCTCAAAGATGGGTGGAACCCGCATCCCAGTAGGTGGGAGTGCGGGAAACTCCAGCGAGCCGAAGCGAGTCCTATCGCTTGAGCCCGCCATGGCGAAGGTGGCAGAAAGGTGGGCCATCCGATGACCAAAAGTGTGAACGTACAACGTCTTCCCCACGGACGGCGCCAACTGTCGGTGTAGAAAGTGACCAACACATAAATATTTGTAGTTTTGCGGTATATTGTGATCAGAGGTGGCCTAGCACTCAATGACACAGGGTTTATACTGGTTTAGGCAACGTGCCCTACGTCCAGTTTGGGTCGGTCGGTGACTTTATTCCTGAGCCCAGGTGCTCGAAGTTTGCTGTGGGGTGACAAATGGATGGGAGAAAGATGGGGGGTACAAAAGGTCCGGTCAGACTCTGGTCTGAAGGGCCGAGAGTGACGGGAGCACCGCTATGTGCTAAGTGTTCGAGCGTGTGCTTTGTATAACTTTAGAGTGTCTAAAGTTATAGAGGGTGAATCAATGTAAGTGAACTGAGGGGTCTATCTGTTGGGAGAGAGCGCATCCCCTTTTATAGGTGAAGGGGATGGCCTTATAAGTGAGTGAGAGAGAGAGTATGCATGCTACTAAGTCTTGTTGTCCACGCCGTCGGGTACAAGATGATTGTAGGCGCCCATAACACTGTTAAATGTCAGATGCACGTGGGAGGTTGCGTTGTCTTCTTCTGATATGGCAGACGTCGGTGCCTGTCATACTGTTGATGCCCAGAGGCATGTAGGGGGTTTTACCATGTTCGCCTGGTATGGTAAATGCCGGCGCCCACAACAATGTTGATGCCTGGAGGCATGTGGGGGAAACCTTACCGTGTTTGTCTGGTATGGGAGTTGATGGCGCCCACAACACTGTAGGGCAAATGTCGGCGCCCACAACACTGCTTGGGTCCTGATATGCCAGGAAGGTTGTAGGGTACCCTTCTGATATGCCCTGTTGGTACTGTCCTGCAGGTGTACAGGGTACGGTCCTCGGTATTGCGTTTGTTTTGAGTGCCCTGCCTTACTTTCTCCGTCCATTTCCTGGTCCTCACCGAGCGGGCGTCCCCGGTCGGTTGGTCCCAGTCGGCTTTGATTGCGCCCATCGGAGAAGAGCTGTAAGCAGAGGTTCGGTGCATCCCCGGTCGGAGACGCGGGTCAGAGTCGGAAGTTGTGTTTGGCCAGGCCTTCCGGTCGGAGAGGCCGTCCGGAGGCGGGCCAAAGTCGGAAGCGAGTGTTGTTCCTCCTCAGTGAGGCCTTCCGGTCGGAGAGGCGGGCCGGAGTCGGAAGCGGGCACCGTTCCTCCTTTGCCAGGCCTTCCGGTCGGAGATTGGATTGCCCTTCTGGCCTGTCGTTTAGGTTTTTGGGCCGGCCCATGAGTTGCGCGTCGTTCGCAACGTTGTGTGCTGAGCCGAGCCTTTGTTGGGAAGCGGTCCATGAGGGACCCCGGGTTTATGAACCCGACAGGCAGCGTGCAGGGGAAGGGGCGCGTCGTGGCGCTTTCACGGACGTCGGGGAGGGGAAAAGATTAGGGGAAAGTAATCCGTGATTAATGAGTGGCAAGGTGGGTAATTATCCCACAACTCCATGTGGGAGTACGAAACTTCAAAAACTGGAGTGCTCCTTGAGGTGCTCCAGAAAAAAAGTAGAGTTGGCCTCCAGCTCCACTTTTTTTTGTGGAACGGAGTTCGTGGAGCTGGGGGGTGTTTGGCAACGCAGAGCTGAAAAAACGAGAGCGGAGCAGTCCCAAACACCCCCTTAATAATATCAATATTACCAACTAGAAAAGTAAACCATAGCGTCTTCTCCCCACCGGGGCTTCTCCCGTAAAGCCATTTTTGAGCAGTGTTTGACAGTAGCCAGAAAAGCCAGCGCTAAACAAACCTTAATAGTATCAACAACATTTACCAACTAGAAATGTAAACCGTAAATATATTTCATAATGAATTTGTTTGATATCATAATTATTATTGTCCTTCCTCGTAAAAAGTATTAGTGTTATACAAATCTGATCGAGCTTATGATAGTTTGACTAAGACAATATAAAAAATACTTGTATTTTAGAATCGCATGGAGTACTATTACGAAAAATACATCATTTAAGAGAAGATTTAGCCAAACCTTACAAACTGAAAAACACAAATAACTTTTAAATTTCTCAGTTTGAAATGTGTCGGTTACTCTCTCCGCTCATTAAAACATATCATTTAGGAGAAGATTTAGCCAAACCTTACAAACTAAAAAACACAAATAACTTCTATCCATGGATGGAGAGAGTATATGGGTAGAAATATATTGAAAAACACTTGCACAATATCAAAAACTTTCTAAGAGTATATTCTAAAATAAATTGAAAGATGTGTGCCCTTCCTCAATCTCATTCCCCCCTCCTTGAGGAACGTGCGCAGATGCCGTTGCCCGTCGCCTGCTCGAATTATATCCGCAGCCTGAGCCTGACCTCCTCCTCCTTTTCTTGAGTGACGTCCATGGATGACCTTGTCGATCGCTATTGTGACTTTTCCCTTCTCATACCCAATGGATGGATATGCATGCTAGACAGATAGATGGATTGACACGGTATTTTTCTTTCTCCGTTGCAACGCTGACGCATAAGCTTGATGATTTCTATATTCTTTTTTTTTTGAAAGGGCATATCTGCTTGCATTAGATAAGGACAATAACAGTACACGGGAGTACAGAACTCGACACTGCAACACCCTTAACGAAAAGGAAAATTACAAATACGCCCAGCAGTGTCATCTTCCACGCAGCCGGCAACGCATCACAGGTGAGCTCGCCATCGGCTTCTCCCAAGCAACAGCAAAAGGAAGGGGACTGCTACCATGAGCTCCCCGAGTTCGCATCAACACAGATCGCCACAACGGGCTACATAAGCTGCAATAGGAGCCTGTCCCGAAAGACAGGGCAAAAGCACCGATGAAAGACCCTCGGCCGGGGCAACGCCCCAAAACAAGGTTGATGCAGATCCATTGTCAACGCCAGAGAGAAACAGACAAGGAGCACTCCGATGTTGCATCGCAGACGGAATGGAATGAGTACGAACTCCCCATCCCCTTTGCCGATTCCGCGCCCGATAGTACCAACCAGTTACCGTGCGAGAAACCGGAGCTTATTTGCACCTCCGCCGCCGCGAATCCATCCACACTCGTCAACATCACTGCCGGCGAGCAGGAACAAAATCCCACAAAAGGTGGAGACCGCATCACTCACCCACCGATTCGCAGATAGGTGGAGATAAACTGACCTCACGCAGGCATCACCGGAGACCTCGTCGCCGTTGTCGCCGGAGCTGCCATGGAGGAGACAAAGCCAGAGCATCAAGCCCAGCAAACCCTAGCACTACTACCTATAACTAGTAGACTATACACACACCCGACCGTCGATCCGCACAATTCTCACCCCCAGAACGCCGCAGAGGACGCCCGTAGGGAAGGAATCGGCTGGATCAACACCGGCGAGAAGGCACACAAGAATGCTCCAACGCTGACCACAAGTAAAGGACAATACCACAAGTAATGGACAGTACCAACTGGACCAGGGATATTAGAAGGCTGACATCCACTCAGAAACCGTTCAAGACCAGGGATGCGTACAACATGCTGGCTCTCGCGCCGTCGTTGCAAGATTTCCATGGCCAATGGATTTGGGGCACAAAAGTTCCGAACAAGGTGAAGATCTTTGCATGGTTATACTTCAAGAACAGGCTAAACACGAAGGCAAATTTGTTTGACAAAAATGTGATGGAGAACTCCATTTGCGGCCGATGCAGTCATCCATTAGAAGACCGGCGTCATGTATTCTTTGATTGCAAGCTTAGCAAGGACGTGTGGCTTGTCTTGGGTCTCCGTTTTCTCCCCGATGCTACGTTTGGGCGCATGGAAGGGGACTGCCAGCAAGACCCGGCGACCTTCAGTACTTCTAACCATCTTATGGCGACTATGGGATTCAAGGAACAGAGACATCTTCCGGAACGAAAGGCAGCTTCTGCGTGATGTGATTATTCGCGTTTGTGATGACTTAACCATTTGGGAGGGGAGATTTAGCCCTGCCTCCATGATACTCGGCCTACGTCGATGGCGTTTCTTTCTCCGTTCTTGTGTAAATTCTATGTAAGGCAATCGATATCGTCTTAAGCTGTAACCAAACTTTATCTGTTGATCTTAATATATATATTCCAGGCGGGGAAGCTCTCCCCTCCGTAGGTTCTCGTAAAAAAAATACCAACTGGACCAAGGCATGTATGCAGAATGAATAAATATAGGTAGGCACAGATAAAACCATGATCTATTAGCATGTATCTGATACTGAGCATAGAAATATATGTCATTCTTGTGTTTGCCTTGGGACACAATTTCAACTTTACTGGGGTAACCGAAATAATAGGATAGACAATCAAAGGTGTATGTGCTTTTGTTCTTGTTTGTGTTGGTCTCCTGGACTTTCCATGTATTGGTGATCCATGGAAAATTGACTTTGCCATCCAAAAGCCAGCTTCATCTATAGGTTGCCACTGTAATCAGAAGCGCAAAGACAACTCTGCTGTCAAAAGGACTCATTGGTTGACCGACTCTAAAAATGAGTTAATGTGCCTCAAGTGTAGGTCGTCAGTCTAGTGGGTATAAGTTCACCACTGTTTCCCAATAGTGATTAACAAAGATAAAGGAATGACAATACCATTACCAAGGAAGCTTAAGAAGTTACCAAAACTGAATACAAAAGTGTGCTCGTTTATGTTAGAAAATCTCGCAAACCTCTAATTAAGCGATGATCTTTCTTGTTTTTGTGTAATTTTCTTAGCTAAGACAATGTAGTTGAATATTCCTGAATTATATATATTATTTTCACATTTTTATCTCACAAACCTCTAATAGTATTAACGAAGTGACAACCTTTGTTATCTCCTACAACTAAAAAGAACAAAGCGTGGATATTTTTTGGTGCGATATTTGTTTTGGTTCGTCCGTCTGCCCACACCTACGATCCTGCGGCGCCAGCAGGTGGGACCTCCTCCAAGCTTGCGATCCCGCGACTCCCCCAACCCTCGCCCCGACGCCTCTCCGGCGCGCGCCCCCCCTCCTAGTGCCCTCGCCCCTGATCGCCCCCCACGCGACTCCTCGGCCTTTGTGTAACCCTAGCCGCCGCCGGTTGACGCGAGGCCGCTGCAGGCGCACCGCCTCCAGGAGTCGGGAGGCCACGGCGGACGGGGCACTGCCGGGCCACGCGAGGCCACGACGGGGCGCTCCCAACCGAGGACGACGTGTGCCGCATCCTGGGCTACGTCGGTGCCGTGGTGGAGGACCGCCTCGACCTACTCTTCGCCCTCATGGAGGGCAAGGACATCACCAGGCTCATCGCCGTGGGCAGGGAGCAGCTCGCCGATGCCGCCTCTCCCTCCCTGCCCTCGGCCCTCGTGCACCGCGCCGCCTTCTGCTCATCTTCTAGGACAGCGAGGCGCAGCGATACGTGGACGTCGTCCCCGCTGCGTGCTCGTCGGGGTTACCGTACCCGCCGTCTTCTTCCTCATGGTAGACGAGGGCATGAAGATCTGCGACCCTGATGCCATCTTCTTCCTTGAGGTATCGCCATCTGCATCTCAGGTGATTGATTCCTCCCTTATCTTATTACTTGAGCCTGGCATCTCTACATCTAAGCGTCCATGACGGCACGGCGACCATGGCTGCTGTTGCTGCAACTTGGCCAGGGCCGATGTCTGCTACTGATGGCGAATTAGCTTCAGGTTCTGAGGAGGATGAGGGCGGTGGTAGAGGACCAAAGCATGAATCCGGCCGGCGATGGCAGCTGCTTCAGCGCTTCCTCTCCAGCTACGAGCCTACGACACCATGTTCTAGATGAAGCAACAGGCAAGTTTCCTTGTGCAAATTTAGGTTCTGTTCTTGTGTGGTATTTTCAAGCCTTCAGCAGCATAGAAGATTAGATAGATCTTGGAAACAAGGAATCACAGGTCTCTGTTCTTGTGTGCAAATTAGGTTGAGTTCATTTGTTCTCAATCTGAAGTAATGTACTTGTGAAAAAAGTTGAATAGGTGTTGCATCACCTGAATATTTATACAGAAATTACTGATCATGTTTAGCCTACATGACTTGCAAGTTAATATGATTCTGGTGTTACAATATTCTGTTCTTGAAGTTTCAAAAAAAAATACTCTGTTTTTTTCAAGGAAAAAAAGTACTATGTTCTTGTGTAAATTAGATTGAATTCATAATGAGTAAAACTAAAGAACACTGCTCACTGCTCATAATCGCCACAGTACAGGGATACAGACCTAAAAGAGCAATGTTCTGATTTTTTTTTCCATTACACAATCTTGCATGACTATTTGACAGGCCAGAACAAAGAAATTTGATACTCCTTTGCCCCTTCAGTTACTTGCTTAATCTTGGGGTGGCGAAGTCCACAAATCAGCAGCAAGTTTACGGCAACCCTGCAGCCACATGTTTGTTTCATTTCTCTCCCTTTTCCTTCCTATCTTGGATATGAGTTCTAATTTGGATTTCATATACAATTTTTTTTGTTAATCAAGGCAAAATAAGCTATACATGCATATTGGATTTTTAGGTTTTGCTTCTTGTGATAAATAATTGACCTTACAAGGCTGTATGCATTCTTTAGTAAGTGAATACATTCCTTTTCTATTTTAGTCATATTATGATAACCAAACAAAGACAATATAGCCTACGTTCCAGTATAATATATAATTGATATAGATAGGTACCGAGTCATGCAAACAAACTGCACCAATTTTAGCATCATAGTTGCAATGTGATTACTCTCTATTTTATAATTCAATCTGATGCCTAAATATATGTTCAATGTATTCCATTAAAACCAGTCATGTAACGTCGAACTTTTTATACGATTACTACTGGAAGGGTATGACTATCCCATTAGTATACCAACAAGTGTTACTACAGTCTTTAGTTATGTCATTAGATGGCTTATGTTACACATAATGAACAGAGACATTAAAACCAGTCAGAGAATTATCTGTACACTGCAGTCCTTAATTATTTCTAGCTGCAGCCAACTGCCAGATATCTCTATTAATAAACCAGTCACACTTATTTCATATTGTCATTTCAGCCACACTTATTTTTGACAAAGGAATATATGCAGGCAGCAATACTTTTGCACTACCAAGTGAGCAGGTCAGTACTTAACCACGCATTTGTTTGATTTTTGTTCTGTACATGTTGCTGCAAGTATGTCTATATCTGCAGCAATACTTTTGCACTACCAAGTGAAGTTTATTTAATAGCTGTTTACTTTCTCGCAAAAGATAGCTGTTTAATAACTGTTATGCACTGCTATCTGTGCTTATATGATGATGGCAACGTCAAAAACTAGCTGAAAGTCTGAAACTTCAAATCCATGAAGTTTCCTGAAGAAATTGCATATATATATATATATATATATATATATATATATATATATATATATATATATATATATATATATATATATATGAAAGCATATAAAGCCATGCATGCTTCAAAATATGTATGTCACTATTGCAACCCTCACTGTTTTGGAGAACATCTTTTCAAGCTTAATAAAGCATTTGGTACCTATCACGAAATATAAAGTAGTAATAAGTATGGTACAACATTATATTACAGCTTTGCTCCACCTAGCTAAGATAACCTTATATTATTTAGATTCATGATACAATATATTTTTATAATATACCTACTTAGTATCATAAATAATGTTGACACTTTTTTCCAGTAAATTGGTTAAATCTGAAAATTGTACGATTGAGGACAAACTAGATAATGTTCTTTTTAGGACAGAGGCCGTAGATTAGAACTCTCAAGCAAGACTAGCGCTTGTGGTGAGTTCTAATCCATCTCCTACAACTAAAAAGAAAGAAAGTAAGACCACCGTTTCGTGCGACAATCGTCGCTCCGTCGGTCTACCCCTCCCCCTTGCGATCCCGCGAGCACATATGGAAGCAGTGACGGACCTAGGTTTTTACCTCTGGGTATGCGCAACAAAAAAACATTCTTATGCAATTCGGTAAACCAAAAAAAATTTCTTATGCAATTTTTTTTACATTGAAAATTTCTACCTATCTCTATGACTGGCGGACCCCAGGGTATGCAGTGGCCCACCCTGCATACCCTGTATGGAAGTCTCCATGGCATGCAGATATTGGACTGCTTATTGTGTACTACATATTGTACACTACTTAGCAACTAGGGATTTGTGTGGTTCCATTTTTATTAGCTTAGTTCATAATATATTAGCTTAGTTCCTAAATTGTTGCCAAGTTTCTGTCAGTTTTTGCAGGCTACTTGCTTTGCACATGCACATGTAATGCGATGGTTTCAGACCTCCGGAATGATCTCTTTGGCCCAGTGCCATGTTGATTGCACTCTATGTCAAGATGCTATTTTGTCCCTTAATTCTTAGTGCATTTTTTTACTTGTAGTACTTTATGAACTTCTCAGATATTCCAATAGCCATTAAAATTGCCATCCCTTATTCCTTATTTTACTTAAATCTCCTACAACTAAAAAGAACAAAGCGTGGACATTTTTTTGTACGACATTTGTTTTGGTCTGCCTCTTCACCCCCCAAGCCTGCGATTCTGCGGCGCAGGTGGGTCCGCCCAAGCCTGCGATCGGGCGTCGGGGAAGGGAAGGGAAGGGAAGGGAAGAGAGATTTCTGGACGCCATACTGCTGCCCGCTGGACCCTGCGCCTACGCCGCCGCCACCGCGTCATCCTTTCCCCGCCCTCGGTTCGCCTGCTTCTTCTCAGGCTCGGACACGACGTTGTTGCTGGACGCCACCAGCGAGGCCGCCTCCATTGTCAGCGCCACCACCGACGCCGGGCAGCACGCTTCGCGATGGCCTCATCCCCACCGCCGGCAGGTTGGCATTGATACACTGATGGCATTGATCACAACAAGCAGTTTAGTTTTCTGAGAATGTACATATGTGATTAGATTGGTTTAGTGGGGACTAGATA